GGCGTACAACCGAGGCAACACGGGACGTGAGGTCTGAACCCGACAGACTGGCCAGTTTGGTCAGAGAGCCTGGAGACGATTTGCCATGAGGATCGGCATACTGGTACACAGCAAGGTTTGAATTCGCGGACAGTGTGTATAGAAGGCCCCGAGAAGAGTCAACGGCAATCTGAGTCAGCGCCCCTACAATAAAAACCGTGATAGGCAGGCGTGTTTAGTTAAGAAAGCAGTCAAGCTATTTGCTAATGCTTGTCGCAGTTTAATGTGCAATAGGGTTCAAATTATAACTTTTTTCGAAAGTTATCGTCGGTGAACAGACATGAGTAAAGGAGCCGAGGCCATCAAAGTCGACCTACCTGATGGGCGAAAGCCGACGGTGAAGATACTAGGAAGCAAAAAACTGAGGCTGGAAGAAGAATGGTTCCTCAGGCTGCAGGGTCCCGAAGAAGGCAATTCAACGCCAAGCTCAAGGCCAGGAATTGACTCATAAGTTAACTCCAAGAGGTCACCTTTTGCATCACCCAGAAAGAGCCTGGAGGGTGGTAAACGAGAAAAAAAATTAAATTGTGTGTAAAGCACGCTCAATTTGTATAAGAAAAGGTAGAAGATAACAACACCCACCGGCCATCACTTGTACATTCCATGCAGGTGATGTAGTGATTCTCAGAAGGCAACCGGTAAAGCGGAGTTGGGAGAACTTGTAAAACACCTGGGCAGACGCGGTCATCCGTAGAAGTGGAGTAGTCATAAGTAACACCGAGTAAAAGGAGTTCTTGCGACGTTGCAAGACAGAGTAGATATTCGATCTGTGGCGGGAGAATCCCTGAAAAAGTTGCAGCATAATAAGGAGGGGTTATTATAAGGTCGGACATTCACACCAGCCAATAACTAATGCTTACTCTTGAGATTCAGAACTAACCTCACTACTTTCAAAAATCGTGACTTCCCACCGCTTATGCATAAAATTCTGCGCCTTGGAACTAAATTATCCGAGGTAATTTCACTAAAGTAAATAGTGCTGTCCTTGTTCTTTGCTTCCTCCGTCTCAAGTTTTTTTACTGCAAGTGTTGAATGTATACTACACTGGTCTCCTATCTCTTGATGGTTCATAGATAGTCGCAACCGTTACCTCCTACCCGTACTTGTTTGGTTATCATACTGATATAGATGCCACACGAGGGCACTCTACCTCTTGGGAAACTTTGCATGCGTGAATGGTCCTATGTACTTAGCTTTGAATTTCGTTGACCCGATTGACTGCTATGGAGCGTAAAGACGACCGACGATTTTGGGACCGGCTATTTTGAATTAGCTCTTCAGTCAAATAGACAGTGTCTATATAACATGGCAGAAAAAAGGCCACAGAACACCAAATTGGGGGGCTCTGAAGGACGATTTAAAAATTTTAAAAGGCCGATGTACTCTATCATTCTAAATATTGTTAATGTAGTGGATTATATAGGTTTTTGACAGAAAATAAAACAATGAGTGGAAGACCTGGACGCAAGCTGTGTAGTCGTAAACAACAGACGGTCTGCGAGTGCGACCGTTTGAACGTAGTTTAAGGTAAAATATAATTAGGGAACATGTTTTGTGCACTAAGAGGGGTCTGGTTGAGGTTCTCTATTGCACAATGTGATGCAAAACGTTCCGTAAACTTGAAGAGAATAGAAAACGTGCAGCGGCCCGATAAAAATATTTTCGGGAGA